CCCCCCCCCCTCTCCCCCTTCTTCCCTCCGTCTGTGCCTCACCTAGATGGCAAGCCCAAGGACCACGCAAGGACAAGGCCCTCCATCTCATCAGAGAGGCCGGGAAAGGATGCTGCAGAGGAGGAGGGGACCGGGGCCGGGAAGGAGTAAGGGGAGGAGGACCACGACGCAGGTCCGCAACGATTTCTGCTTGTGCTCTCCCGGCTGTATGCCGCTGAGTGAGGGGCGAAGAAAGGGAGGGATGGCTTTAAAAAGGCAGCAATCATCGTCCTTGATCTCTTTTTTGTCAACACCGTTCACGTTGATGTCAGATCCGAAACTCAAGCCGGCGAGAGGCAAACAAGAAGGGTAGGAAGAAGGAAGGCACGGGAGATCATCGCGGGGCTAGAGGCCCAGGAGAAGGAAGGGAAGGGCGGAGGAGGGGAAGGCGAGAGGGAGAAATGTGTGAACTCCAGGAAAGTTCCTTCGGCCGCACCGGGTCCTTTGAACATAAACGAATATCCGGGTAGGTTGGATGTGCAGACGAGTGCACGCGGGGAGAAGATTGAAGCGACGGGAGGAAGGAAGAGCGGGGATGGCTGTACGCCCACAGAAACGGTCATGTCGACGAAAGAGGTTGCCGGCTGCAAGCTATCATGCCTGCTGCCACTTCCTCGCGTATGGCCCTCTGGCTATTGCCTTCTCATCGACCTACGTCTCCCTATTCTATCCCCAGGCGTCGAGCTCCTTTCAGGGAAGGAGAAGGAGCTCTGCGCGGGTTTGCGCCTCCTGCCGAAGCATTATTTGTACATCAAGGTGGGCGGGGTGGGGGTTAAAGGGAGGGGTCGGCCCCACGAAGGTAGCGTTTGTCCGCTACCGCGGTCACATTCCCTCTTTTGACGGAGCCTACATGTCCTTTTTCAGCTTTCCTTTCGGCTGATATCAGAAACCTTCTTAGTCCCTCTGGCTTTGCCTCTTGATCTGCCTCGACGTAATTTTGAGTCTTTTTAGCGCGTCACCTTTCCTTTTCGCGGACTCTTTTCTGCCTTTTTATTCTTGCCTTCCCCTTACATGACCCGTACAACCCCTTGTTACGGCACAGAATCGCATTCTGCAAGAAAGTGAAGCCTGCGGTCTCCTCCCTGCCCCGAACTGTGCAGAACCCAAGAGTGCGGGCGGGGGGGAGACGGAGGGTGATACGGCAGTACCTCCTTCGTCGCTGGTCACCATGGACGTGGAGAAGAAGAAGGGGGTCTATGACTTCATGGTTCGGGTTGGCTGGGTCTCGCCACTAGGTAGGAAGGAAAGGACAAGGGGAGGGAGCCATTGTCCATGGTCATGGTCTTTGTGGTGCGTGAGTGAAGGTCATTCTTGTACTCTGTGTCGGTCATTTTGGCGCTTGGAAACATAACCTTTCTTTTGAGTCATGAGCCTTGCGTTCTCGGCAATAGTAGCACCCTCACGTACTGCCGTATCTTCATCTTTGTCTCCATTTCTCTCCTTCACCACTGCACGATTCAGTCGCCAACGCCCGCTCCGACGTCAAAGATATCACTGTCAAAGTCAACCGCAGCGGGAGTGCTCCGAACACAACCGGTTCCTCTTCTTTGTCCTCGTCCTTGCCCTCTTCCATGAAGAGTTCCGCGTCCCCACAGAAGAAGAATGGTGAAATGGGAGAAGGAGTGGGCAAGGAAAGAATAGCACAGGAGATGGATGTAGAAGGCAATTCTGGATGAGGAGAATGAGGGCTAGCGCGCCACTTGATCGAAAGCAAACCGACTTGAGTACCTCCCCTTGTCGCCTTTCCCGTCGTCACTCCCTCTCGCTTCCTTCCATTGGGCTCTCTCTCCTCTCCTCCACCCTCGCGATGCCATTTTTGCGATTTAGGGGGGACGCAAGATTCTTCGCATTATGTCATGTCAGGGAGGGGGAGAAAGAAGCTTGCTTGTGTTCGTAAAATGATTCGAAGAGAATCGGAGGAGAGCGAGGGGAGCAATGAATCCAAGCAGGGATTAAAGAGAGCAGAACACTTGCAGGATTAATGTGTCATAAATGTATCGGATTGCTTTCGCGGGCGTCTTGGTGCTTTGCAACTTTTCATTTTGCACGTTCTTCTACTGGTACCCCCCGGTACAGGCAGCCTTAGTCACTAAATTTTTCCTGTCAGCGACCTTTCCTTATTGTCTCCCTTCCTTCTTGGTCCCTTTTCGTCACCCATCCGCTGTTGTGATCGCTTCGACAGTCACTCTCTTCACTAAACAACCTCTTCGCCTTCCGTCAATCTCTTTCCGCCCCCTCCGGGCGCTATCCTTCCTGCGAAAAAAGCGTTTCCTCCAGGCGCATATCTTCATCTTTTCGAGGCCTGATAAGCTAAGAAAAGTCCGAGAAAATCAGATATCAGGCACCTGGAAACGAGCAATTCTTATCCTTCAAATTCTTCTCCTTCATGTCGCTGCGACGACCGAAAGCCCTCCAATCATTCCAACCTTCATGACCTGGCCCCTTCCCTGCCTTCCTTTCCCTTTCCCTCACCTCTTCCGCCATCCCCAGCACATGAATCCTGCCGCTGGTATCGCCAACTGCCAGCCTTTTTCCATTCCCTGCCCAAGCGAGGCGGGTCAAGGCGACGGGAGGGGACGAAGGAGGGGTAGTGGGGGGGAAGAGCGACCTGTTCCCTATTTGAGCCGAGCCGGCCGGGGCCGATGGACCTCGCGTGGGCGTTGGAGATGCAGGTTTATCGGCAACGCTGCCCGTGACCGGGAAAAGAGGAAGAAAGGGAGCCTGAGGGTGGGGGGAGACGGGTTGAAGGGCGCATGGCATGAACGTGAAGGAAATATTTGCATAGGCCATTCCTTCATTTCCCTAGCTCGCTCCCATTTTCCCTTCCTCCTCACCTCCAAGCTATGGTTTAAATTCCACAGCCCCAGCAGTCCTCCAGAGCTCACCGAGGCGAAGATGCAGGGATGGGAAGGGCACCTGGGAAAATAGCGGAGGAGAAGAAAAAGAGAGCGAGGTAGCTTCAGGCCTTGTGCCGAGGGCAGAAAAGAACTAAGTCAAAGCCTTGTCCACGCGTCCATCCGTTCACATGGAAGAGAAATCGAACAACGTCCTGCACGATCCCCTCTGACGACAAGTTCCTGCTTGATCTTCTCCCGCCTTTCCCCTTTCTTCGTACCAAGCCACATCGTTCACGTAGTCGTAGGCGTTCGCGCCGTGCGTGAAAGAGGACACCAAGGGTTTGGGCGGTCGGTGGGTATGCCTGACAAGAGGGAGGGAGGGGGAGAAAGGCGGCGGTGAAACTTCTACTATGAAAGTACAACTTGAAAACCAGGGTAGGACAGGATGTTAAAGCATCACTATCGCCAGCACCCGGGAAGATTCACGAGCCTGCCCTCGTGCAAATCTCTTTCCTTCCCTTCCTCCTTCCCCATGCGCTTCCGGCCCTCCCCTCCCCCCTCCCCGTGCTCGCACCAAAGCTTGATGGTGCAATCAAGAGAAGAAGAGAGGAGAAGGGAGCTGAGAGAGGAACGTCGAAACTTGGAGGAAGATAAGGAGGAAGTCCGGGTGGACGGATGAAGAGAGAGCGCGGTGATGAGGCTGCCGTGCGCCTGCCACTGCAAGAATAGGAATAACAGCGAGCGAGGGAGGGAGGGAAGGAGGGCGAGAGGGATGCTTAACGACGCATCTGCAAAGCAACCTAAGTAATCCGTTCCCAAATCTGTCAGGATCAGGTTACTCTACCTGTCTGGCGGCGACGTGTCGATGTGCGGGAAAGGAGGGGAGGGATGGAAGGGAGGGAGAAGGAGCAGCCCCCGGTGCTGGTTGGCAATAGATATGTCCATTCTTGCCCCCTAAAAGCATCTCGTCCCGGCCCTGCATGTGGACGTGCCGATAAGGGGAGAAAGGAGGAAGGGGAGGAGGGGGAGCAGGTGGGAGAATCAGGACCGCACATCCATTGCAGTCGCGTCGAGTTACTCGCGTCCATCCCTGTTCCCCCTCTCTGCAGCCTTCACCGCCCCTTCTCTTTCCCCACCCCTCTACACTGCCCTCCCTCTCTCACGTTCTCATCCTTCTGGAGCACCACGGCCATGATGCTGACATCCTGCGGTTGCTGCGGCTGGCTTTCCTCCCTCTTTCCAACGACAGGTCCGTCGCCCGGGACGTCTGAGACAGAAGCTACGTCCAGAGGCTCAGATAAACGGCTAGGGTGAGGTAACGGAAATCGGATAAGATAAACGGCTAGTGTGAGGTAACGGAAATCGGCCCATGTCAAGCCCGTCTCTTCATTTCCCGCCCCGCGAACCCTCCTCCCCATCCTGCTTCCTAGCCTGTCTTCGTCTTTCGCTCCATTCGCACCTTAAATCCCACCGACATACACGACCGTCCGCGGAGGCCGACAACAGGACGTGAGCGTTTCCGCCTGCCGCAGTCTCGGTCGCAAGGGCATGTACGGGATAGGTGTGCCCTGGGGGAAGGAGGAATTGAGGGAGGAAGTGAGGGAGGGATTGAGGGGAGGATAGAGGGAGGCCAGCACAGGGAATCCGGCGAAGGATCGAGAGGGAGAAGGAGAGGCCGCTTCTAATAGGCCGGTATAAATGCGAGTGAGGGACAGGAGCGAGAGAGAAAGGGAGAAGGGGTGGGGAGGGGATACCGGTCATGGAGAGAGGCGATCGTTGCACGGGCAGGGTCCGGGCGCGCATGTCCCAAACGAGCACTTGGCCGGAGTAGGCGCCGCTGGAGGACGAGACGAAGGTAGGGGGGGAAGATCAACTAAGTTGAACCCAGAAGTTTGAAAGCCCTCCAATCTTCCTTATGCCTCTTCTCCCATGTTTCATATCTACATTTCTCGCCACAATCCAAGTATTGAAAAACGGAGTGCCACGCTCTCCTCTCTCGTTCCTCCCTCCCTCCTTTCTCGTTCCTCCCTCCCTCCCTCTCTCCCTCCCTCTCGAAGTCCACCTACCCAATCACGAGGTGGGGGTTGGAGGGATGAAATTTCGCAGTCAAAATGGCTGAGGTAAAGACGAAGCGCGCTTCCGGTCTGATGGGCCCGGTGGATGCGCGTGAACTCAAAGCATGGAATGGAGCTTCCGTCATACCTCCCCCCCCCC